CAATTTCTAAAAAATAGAAAAAAATGACGCAATTTCTAAAAACATAAAAAATGGCGCAATTTCTAAAAATAGAAAAAAATGACGCAATTTCTAAAAAAAAAAGCAACAATGACGCAATTTCTTAAAATAGAAACAATGACGCAATGACGCAATTTCTAAAAATAGAAAAAAATGACGCAATTTCTAAAAAGAGAATAAAAATGACGCAATTTATAAAAATAGAAAAAAATGACACAATTTCTAAAAATAGAAAAAAATGACGCAATTTCTAAAAATAAAAAAAATGATGCAATTTTTAAAAATAGAAACAATGAAGCAATTTCTAAAAATAGCAACAATGACGCAATTTCTAAAAAAAGAAAAACATGACGCAATTTCTAAAAATAGAAAAAATGACGCAATTTCTAAAAATAGAAAAACATGACGCAATTTCTAAAAATAGAAAAAATGACGCAATTTCTAAAAATAGAAACAATGACGCAATTTCTTAAAATAGAACAAAAATGACGCAATTTCTAAAAATAGAAAAAAAATGACGCAATTTCTAAAAATAGCAACAATGACGCAATTTCTAAAAATAAAAAAAATGACGCAATTTATATATATATATATATTATATATATATATATATATATATATGTATGTGTGTGTGTGTATATATATACATGCATATATATATATATATGCATGTATATATATATATATAATACATATACTATACATACACACACACCAATAAATGCACAATCTGAGAAAATTCAGTAATATAACCTTCAAGGTCAAGGTCATTAAAGAGCCCAAGCAAATTTGGGTTTGATAAACAACAAGGTCTGGTCCTTAAGAATGTTCTGTTATAATATGAAGTTTATCCCTTCAAAAATAGCAAAGTTACAGTCAGTTACTGCCAAAACAATAAAAATTTCAATAATTTGACCTTCAAAGGCAATGTCATTAATGAGTGAAGGTCAAGGTCTTTCGGAATATTTTTAACAGTTATCTTTGAAGATTATTATGTTCAAGTTTGAAGACAATCCATTCAAAAATAACAAAGTTACAGCCAATAATAACCAAAAAAATGAAAATTTCAATAATTTGACCTTCAAAGTCAAGGTCATTGATGAGTGAATGTCAAGGTCTGACTGGTTATTTTTAAGGGATATCCTTGAAGATTATTATGTTCAAGTTTGAAGACAATCCATTCAAAAATAACAAAGTAACAGACAATAACAGCATGAACAAGCAAAAATTGGACTTTTAACCTTGAAGGTCAAGGTCATTTATGGATGAAGGTCAAGGTTAGTGTGGTCTACTGAAAGGTCTTGTCCCAAGGGTTGTTGTGGCCAAGTATGAAGACAATACACCTAGAAATAAAGAAGTTATGATCCAGGTACAAGTTTTCGGACGGCAACGGCAACGGGTACGGCAACGGCAACGCCGACCTGACTATAACAATACCTTTTTACTTTTTTTTTCAAAATAAAAAAAGTCGAGCTAATAAAACTTACAACTATTTTAAACACCTGGGACTTCCTATTCGATAGCAAATCTTTCTCGGAATAACTGACCAAGATGATGAAGGCGGGAAAATGGCGACAGAAGGAAACTAGTTCGTATTCAAACGATCAGACTACAATTCTTTTCTCTGACATTCACACTTTTTTAAACATTTTAAGCATAAAAGTTATCTTTAATTGAATTCGTATTCCTTTATTTCCTGAATTATGGTGTTCTATGATAGTTAATTTATGACTTAATAAAATTGGCACTAAATTTATGCATGTGCCTTAGCTCTCATGCATCAAGAACCAGAAGTTAGAAAAATAAATTGGTTCTCTTTAAATTTTTATCGACTGCTGGCGTAGTAATATCCAAAACGCATAAAGGAATGATTTATGTAAATTTGTGATAAAAGGATTTAAAATTTAGTAATAAAATGACCTGCCAATTTCAAAGTGATTATTTGAAAATTATGGCAAAATATTGGAACTATTTTTGCTCAGTGCAGCTAGATAGCCTAGATGCGTTCAAAAGGTCGTAAACTGAATTTATCGTAATTACACTGGAACTTGCGCCCCCTAAAGGAAACTAGTTAAATTGGTATCCCCCCGCCGCATAATTCTTATCACTTGACTAAGGTTCCTTTGTAGTATGTACATCAGATATTGATAAAGATAATTTATTATCCTTACCTATGATACAAAAGCTCCAACAAAATTTCAATGGAAGATGGATTGATATTTTACTTGTGATCATAAAAATAAATACTGACACTCGTGGCTTCTGCTGCCACGAGTGAAAATATTGATATATATGATCACATGTGAAATTACAAATGATCTTTCACTGAATTTAACACATTTGCTGTTTCTTTTATGCTTTTACGGATGATATTTGTTTTTTTTCTTTGTTTTTCCACGATTGTTTTATCACAGTACAACGTCATATTTGACTTAAATCAAGCAATAGTTTTCAGGAAATACTTCGGAATCGAAAATTATTTCATATTATTGTTTAACCAATCAGGGGTATTAAATTTGTGTTTAATGGCCGAAACCCGGTAACATCAAATGATATTCTCATCTTCCTTGATAAAGAAGTTTCATTAAAATCTAGCCATTAATTTTCAAGAACTAACACGAAGCACAGATGGACGCATACACGGACAACGCACTTCCCGATTCTATCATCGGGATAACAACCTATCAGCGATCTTACTTGGTGATATTAACCGTGAATATGCGAAAATTACGTTTGACAATACTTTAACATGTCGCTTTTTATTTTTCTTTCACGTGGCGAATTCGTTTCTGCTTCCGGGGGATGGGGTGGTAAAGGTGCTGAGCGAATAATTCACAAATGTGTGCCAAATTCGTACGCACTTGTCACACACGTATAAGGAATCGGAGCGCATTTTAACACGTGCGACGAATTCGGTTTTATGAATATTGAGGTTCAACACAGCTTAATACTAAAAACAGCATAGCTCTTTTATTTTTTGTATTTGATCATCCTTTAAATTTGAGGGCTGTGGATCAAATGATTACGTACTAAATGTTTTTCACATTAAAGGCCTATTATACATCAGAATGCTATAATTTTTATTAATCAAAACGTTTTATTGTTGGTGAAAAAGGTAACCCCTTGGCCAATTACCTTAATCATCTTTTTCATATTGTGCTTTTTGCCAATACGTACAGTTATGTTTTTGTATGGAAGTCAAATTACTAGTTTGTTTGCATTTTGCTCCTTATATGACAAATAACTTCAAATTTATCGCTACTTTCTTCATATAACAAGCATCAAACATAATTTAAAACCATTATTTAAACATTATAGAACTCAAGATTGATCTTTCTTAAGAATTGAAAATTTATATCTGAAACAAAATGTTGCTGAAAATTCAACATTCAAGAGACTTTGACCTGTAATGACGCTTAGAAACAATAATGGTCTTCTTAATAATCTGTTTGTTTAAATAGTTGACAAGTTGATGAGCGGAGCCGGTGTTTATAATCAAGGTAATTGTAATATTAAATGTCTTTACTTAATATAGTTGATTATCCTATGCAGTCTGAAGGATTGTCGCATTGTTGACCAGAAACGAAGAGGTCAAACGATCGACCGACACTTTCAAGCAATATACCATTTTGTCTTCAAAATGGGCATGATAAAATCTTGTTAATATTGACTTATTATCAAATGACATCATAGTATCCTTACCCTGAATAAAAACGATCCTTTTCCTACCGTCATATCACATTGGGTGTCAGGACTGTAAAGTTGACCTGGAAGGTCATTTGCATAAGGGTCAAGGTCATCATTGCCTGTCGCTGTTCTTGCAGTCATACAGTTTTTAGACCTTTAGTAAACAACAAATAACTACATTTAATATAGCTTTGTGAATGAAATGTGTTAGATATTGATAAAATAAAAGACGTATTTTTATTTCCCGTAATTTTCACTGCAGAGAAAACATAGTTTTCGTATTTTAACTGGTGTCTTGCCTCACTTCTTTCTTCTTAATTCAGCCATCACACAAAATTTATAGGAAAGTATTTCAAATTGTAATAATGTATCCACAGGACACGGTGCCCCAAAATTCCACTGTTTTGTTAATCTACTGACTATAGGTCAGATATATATTGGGCTACACGCGACGTAAGTTAGAAACTGAACATATTGTACTAAGTCAAAAGCAAAAACTCTACAAACACTGAATAAATTCACAAGCAAATCCCAAGGTGCATAACTACACATGCTGACCGACATTCTTGGAAATTTTCAAGACTACTGATCAAATACCATTGAACAAGGGAAAATTGTGAGTGAAGGGAATTTTTTCACTCAAGATTCTTTGAGAATACGGCCTGAGGTGCATAACTTCACATGCTGATCAGGTTAATGACACTAGGTCAATTTTAGCTACGCGTGACACAAATTGAAAATTACAATTTTTACTAAGTTAAGGGTAATAACTCTACAAATACTAATTAACTATACAGGCAAATCCCCTAGGTGCACATCTACACATGCTGACCAAAAAGACCCTATGTCAAAAACTTTTGTGCTACGCACGACACAAATTGAAAATTGATTTTTTTACTAAGTTTATAGCAATCTCTCTGACAAAACATAATTAATCCACAAGCGAAACACCAGATGCACAACCTTGCATATTGAGCAACATTCCTGTAAAGTTTCATGTTCCTTGGTCAAATATTTTCTGAGCTACGTGCGACACAAGTAGAAAATTGCAATTTATTATACCTCAACATATACTAAATAAATACACACGCAAAACACTCAGGTGCACACAACTACACATGCTTACCAATATTCCTGTAAAGTTTCATGAGTCTTAGTCAAATGAGCCGGGTCACGACAAAACCAACATAATGGGTTTGCGACCAGCATGGATCAAGACCAGCCTGCACATTCGTGAAGTCTGGTCAAGATCCATGCTGTTTGCAATTAGTTTCTGTACTTGTTATAGGGTTTGTAAGCAAATGCGCAATCTAGTCTTGATCCATGCTGGTCGCAAACCCATTATGTTGGTTTTGTCGTGACGCGGCTCAAATACTTTTTGGGCTATGTGCGACACAACATAAAAACCGACGGACGTACGTCCGCATAACTTAAGTGACATTATGGGACAGTCATCCATGTTCATTCCATACAGACTTGTTATTGTGGGGAAAAGGGTTGCCTATGGGGTGCAAGTACGTTGTTTGTGAGGTTTTATTAAATAAACAAGATCCAATAAAAACAAGAGCACCGCTAAGCGGAGCATTATATGCCCGAAATTGTGTCTTTTTAGTAAGGATCAAGCATTTGTAAGACATGGAAATTAAATAAAGTATTCCACCCTTCAAATAGCAATCCTCCCATGGAGTTTGAATACTGTGGGCCAAATGAAACTTAAATTATGCTCAAGAAACTTTTTTTCAGTTTAAATGTAAGTGACCTTGACCTTTCGCCTTGTGACCCCAAAATCAATAGGGGTCTTCTACCTAATATGGACAATCATCATATGACGTTTGATCATTGTGGGCCAAATTGAACTTAAGTTATTTTCAGTTTTGAAGTAATAGTACTAGTGACCTTGATCTTTAACCTTGTGACCCAAAAATCAACAGGAGCTTTTACCAAATATGGACAATAATCCTATGAAGTTTGAGCGCTGTGTGCCAAATTAACTTTAAGATATATTCCGGAAACTGTTTTCAGTTTTTTGGTAATAAGAACCTTGACCTTTGACTTTGTGACCCCAAAATCAATAGACGTTGTTTACCTAATATGAACAATTAACCGTTTTGCTCCGGAAACTGTTTTCAGTTTTAAGGTAAAAGTGATCTTTACCTTTGATCTGGTGGCCCCAAAATCAATAGGGGTCTTCTACCCAATGTGGACAATCATGCCATGAAGGTTGAATATTGTTGGCTAAATGGAACCTTTGTTAATCTCCGTAAACCAAATTGCTAATGGACGGATGGACGGACGGACGCTAGGGTGTATAACATAATATGCCCGAAATTCTTTCAGGCATATAAAAAAAAACATCAACTAAAAATGCCCTTTATGGTGGGGGGCACAAAAAAAGATAAAAAATCATTAATATCGTGCTTTTCGATAGTTTATAGAATAAATAAGTGCAATAAAAATATTATTACACTGTTTGAAACATTGAAATTATCATTTTTGAGTTAAAGCCCGTTACCTTGTTTCAGTGAAATACCAGCGTGCAAAGTACTGGAAACCAGCTTACTGACGTTACGTCGTAAATGAAGTCACGTTGTATTATTATTACTTTTAGCATGACGTTAAAACGTCTTTTTAATCGTTATTTTACACATAATAAAAAGAAAATTTGTTCAATTTCGCCTAAGATCGAAATATATGTCACCTCGTGAACACCAAAATTTCATATTTCACTCGTGGCTGCGCAACTCGTGAAATATATTTTGGTGCTCACTCGTTGAAATATATTCCGATCTTACACTAACTAAACAAATATCCTCTACATAATAAACAAAAAATCCAAGTCTCTTTTTATAAACATAGATTTGTTTTCATTTTGTGTTATGAAAATCATCATACTTCAACTCGTGGCTGTAGCCACTCATGATATTTTTTTGTCATACTACTCGTCATATTTTTTGCTTTTATAATGAAATTAAATAAAAAGGTTATTGTTTAGTTTTTCGTGATATATGGTATATATATTTTCACTCAACATGATAAAATGCCGTCCCGGCTCGTGAAAATATATGGCATATTATCATGTTTCGTGAAAATATATTCCATAATTATTTTACTCAAACGAAAAAATATCCTCTTTTTATATGTAAAACAAATAAATATTCTTTTTATTTATGCTTTTTAAGTGCTTTTAGATATTTTTTACTGATTTGGCCGCGTAACGTCGTGTATTCTGCTTTATGACGTCATCACATCATGACGTCACATCATCACTTTTAAATATAGTTCTGTTAAACTTTCTCTGATTTTGTTACATTTTTAACATGATGTATGATGACATCCTTTTTCTTTATGACGGCATTTATTTTTACATGTTAATCCAATTAATTATAATATTCTTTTCATCCGCATTCACATATATATAGTCCGGCTACAGTGAAAATTGCATCTTATAATTTCACTGGTGCTTTATCAGAATATAATCATCTGATATATTACAGTAAAACACTTGAAAGCATGAAATAAAGATGATTAATTATATTCACCACTAATAAAACTACTAAACTTTAAACTTACGCTTGATTCAAATTGGTGATATAAGAGTCAAAATCTCTCTGTGAACAAGACGAAAACTGCCAGAGTTTATAGTTCGTGGATGAATCCTTGGTTATGGTAATAGAGCGTGACATGACATATCCTTTTGAACAGCTATTTGTATCACTATCATGGTTTGTTCCGAAACTGAAACCGAAACGAAACGATTAATGAGAAAAATATTAAACAATGAAATAAAGTATGTAGCTGACCACTCAATGTAATATGCAAAGTTCAACAATGTTATGTTGCATGGATGATGATGAGGATGAAGATTCAACCAAAGGGAATCAACCATTAACTTTACAACTAAACATGTGAAGAGTTATCTGATCTTGATATCATAACAAAGGGGAAGCGGCACCCGATAAGCATCCCAATGAACACTTGGCTAATATTGACCTCTCAGTTTCATATTTAACTTTTTTTGAAAATTTCAAGTAACAAACAAAACGACCAGATATAGAGAATATACTATAGGTTGGTGCCGTGGAGGGAGAAAGTTTATCTGGCGAGGCTAAGGAATTTATTGGGTGAGCCGAAGGCGAACCCAAAAAATTCCGGAGCAGAGCCAGATAAACTTTCTCCATCTCCGGCACCAATCTATTATTCTATTTATTCTCTTACCGTTTTTTTAAAGAATTTTATTAGGCAAACTACCTTAAATCACGCTATCGGAAATGTTTCTATATAAACAAAGAAAGCTCTAATTATTCTACAACAATGCACTCGCCGTTCTTATTATCTCCCTGTGTATTTTCACATTGAGGGCGCCATTTTGTCGAATTTTGTTGTGAAAACTATCTAGAATGAAAGAAAATGGTCTAACTAAGAAAATGAATTCGAACACCAATATCTTTTATTCAGTCGTTAACGAGTTAAGTTTTACATTTATTTCACTTTTAATAATTTTTATTTCGCTTGAAAAATTATATAGGGAAATAAAATAAACAAACAAAGTTTTATCAACGTTTCCAAAACTCGTTATTCTACACACAGAAGATTTAAGGACAGTTTTTATATTTTTTTCTTGAAAAGTAGTCCGGCAAACATGCATACCACGTGATCAAGTGTCGTAGATCATTAAAAATATACGGCACCTTGTTATCGGGCTGAAATTGATACAAGTGCCAGGATAATATATAAATCTTACACCGGCTACCAGTACAGACAGGAATATCTAAGCTCGAGGGTGACTGTTTACGGCGGTAACGAGGCTTGGCAGTGTTTCTGTTAAAAAGGGACCCGGGAGCTAGATATTCCCGTCTGTACTGACAGCCGGTGTTTGATTCTTTTTCTTGCATATTGCATATCAAATACTTTCAGAACAGAAATTACGAAAACTGATATTCTCATTACGTCCTTTTGTTCTTATAGTAGCGTGTGAACTTATAACTTCGCAAATCATGCAAAAAGACACGCAGATATGCCGTCATTTAAAGCTTGAGACTTATCTTACATGGGGTGAAAGACAGGATTTTCTAGCACCGATTTAAACAGTAGATAATCCAGTCTGACATGCAAGAAAAAGCTGAGTTACATTTAGTGCGGTTCTTAAAGACACTGTATCACTTGACTCCGACGAAATCCTTTAACTTATCACTTTCTACAAACTACTAACAGAAAAAAAAACAACAAATAACAGTGTAATTAACTTACTTATGTCCAAGCTCATGTGCGACAATTTGTGCCACCGACGGTCTGAAACTTGTAACTTCATTGATAGAATATCCCTTACTTCCACAAACAGCGGGCCAGACCAGTTCACCGTTTAAATAAAACGGCAAATACGCAAGACCTTAAAATACGAATCATAACTTTTTTATACGAAAATTTATTAAAAAAAGAATGAGCAGATATATTTATTTATGAAATAGAAAAATTAAAAACCTTAAAGAGCACTCAACATGCTAAATTTCAAAAAAAAGTTGCAGGCTCGGTTTCACAATTGGTAAGCCTGTTCACGAACGGAAATAGTAAAACCATGCTACCACCCAGACTCCAAGCACCGGTGTAACCATTTCCGAACATTGAAAACTGAAACAATCTGTTTCTTAATTTGCTTATGTTAATGTAAACAAGACTTGAGTATTTAAAAATATAGTTATATAACAGTTATCTCACAGTTGTGTTGAGAAACACAAAAATGATTAGATTTGATAGAAACAAATCAATATATTATTATGTATTAGTGTGTATACCTTGAAGACTACTCATAAATTGATCACCAACTGTTTGTCCAAAATCGCGCCTTAATATAAATATAAAGAAAACAAAATATCAAGATAAAATAGTAGACTCTGAACTAGAATTTCTTCACTTCTTATCGAATAAGGGTGAACCAGCTATATTTAATTCAAATCTGAAATTGTGACCACGTGATGATTTTTCCTCCTGAAAACCAAATTTTTCATTTTCAATGGTTTACAGTATAACACATAGACCTTCATTTGCATTTGATATATTTGTTTAACAGTAATGAATTATTTGATAAAATAATACTTTTGTAAGTAATGTCGCTTAATTGACATATTTTAGGATTAATCTTTGCGTTATTGATGAAATATATAGAAACAGAATCCATAAAGAACGTCTTAAACGACAAAACTGAAAATATTGCAAGCGTGGTTTTATTGAGCTTGTTCATGGGGCGGTACTGTAAACTTCAAGCTACCGAGTACATAACTTGCACTAATATTAAGTATAATTAAGAAATAATATATCCCAAACTGATTTTATCGCTCAATAACACCACTGTTTGGAGTTCGGATGCGAGGAATTATATCACGAGGGCGTAGCCGAACGAAAAGATTTGTTCAAAATGTTTGAAAAAAATATTCAAAAATACTACAAGATACTGCAAATGTAAGTCACACGTGAAATTACGCGAAACGTAAATTAACGTTAGTTGCGTTTCACTAAACAGAACGTGCAACTTGCAACGTGCCAGCAGTAAATGAGCGTTACTTTACGTTTAAACCTACACAAATGCGTAACTAAGAAAGTTAAGTGAAACGAAAGTAAAACGTAAGTTCTGCTTACACAAACAGTTACGTTCAAATTTGATTTCTGATAACGTAAGTGCGTTAGTGAAACGCAACCCAGTTTCAATTTAACTATAAATATCACACACGGCAGCATATTTGCTACGCCCCCGTGATATAATTCATCGCATCTGAACTCCAAACAGTGATTTTATTGAGCGATAAAATCACTGTTTGGGATATATTATTTCTTAAATATCAGAGGAAAAAAGAAGAAACCTTTTCTTACTTTGTCAGCAATGTAGCTTGGTCATAATTAAAATGACGCATTGAAGTCTGTCCCCAATAATAGAAATCATATAGTATTTTGTAACCTTCTGCTTGTCCGGCATCGTTGACATTTTTTTCTACAAACTGCGAATCGCTTGGATCCTGTGGATATATGATACATTTAACGCAGGATGCGTCCGAATATCCATTACAATATGAGACATGATTTTCAACAAATAGTGTTTCGCTTGATAAACGCAGATACAAGATACATTAGACACATGATGTGTGGTAATAGTCATTACAATAAAAGACATGATTTTCTACAAATATATACGGTTTCGCTTTATACCCCCAGATACATGATACATATAACACATGCTGTGTGGTAATATTCATAACAATATAAGACATGATTTTCTACAAATGGTGCATCGCGTGATACCTGCGGCTAATGATGCATGTGACACATGATTCCCGGGAATATGTATTACAATATGATACATAATTTGCTATGAAAGGCACATCGCTTGATACCTGCGGATATATGATACATATGACACATGATTCGTAGGAATATGCATACTATTACATTATGAGAAATGACTTTCTACAGAAGGAGCATCGTTTGATACTTGCAGATATATTATATCTCAGACACAGGTTGTGTGGGAATATGCATTACAATTCCAGATAGGAAGTAGGCAGTATCAGAAGCATCAATAGGAAACGTGAAGTTAGCAGTAGCAGTAGCACAGCAGAAGCAAAATTAGAAAACGTGAAAATGACAGTAGCGGTAGCACAGCTGTAGCAAAATCATAAAACATGAAGTTGACAGAAGCAGTTGACTGCTGTTCCAGCAGAAGTAGTAGCAAAATTATAAAACGTGAAGTTGGCAGTAGCAACGGCACATCAGTAGCAAAATTATTAAACGTGAAGTTGGCAGTAGCAGTAGCACAGCCGTAGCAAAGTTATAAAACGTGAAGTTTGCAGAAGCAGAAGCACAGCAGTAGCAAAATCATAAAACGTGAAGTTGGCAGTAACAGTGATACAGCAGTAGCAGTAGCAAAGTTATAAAACGTGAAGTTGGCATGTGAAGTAGCACAGCAGAAGCAGACTGATTCTGGAACACCTGCAGAGTTCCAGGGTTCATTGTTGCCAATGTTTTATTGACATGTTCGACTTTAAGGCACATCTGAGGCACTTGAAGACTTTCAGGTATTTTGGTGCCAATAGAAATAATGAATTTCTTACTTCTAGGGACCTCAAAGTGTCTTTTTGCTTGACCTGAGACTTAATGCTTTATACTCACAGACTTTAAGGAATTTTGGTACCAATGCAAATAATGACTTTTCAGACTTCTATGGACCTGCCAGATTCTGTGACACTCGCAGTCTTTCAGTAATTTTGTATAGCCAATGGCGTTTATGACAATTTTTACTTCTAGGCACACGCCATAGTTCATTTCTTTTGTATGCGACTGATTCTCGGACACTCGGACACACTTCACGTTTTATAATTTTGCTATTGCTACTGCAGTACCACTGCTACTGCCAACTTCACGTTTTATAATTTTGATACTGCTTCTGTTACGCTACTGCTACTTCTGTGCTTATGCTACTGCCAATTTCACGTTTTATAATCTGCCACTGCTTCTGCCAACTTCACGCTTTATAATTTGGCTACTCCTACCGCTGTGCTACTACTACTGCTGTGCTACTGCCAATTTCACATTTTATAATGTTGATACTGCTGTGCTACTGCTACTGCCTACTTCACGTTATAACTTTGCTAATGCAACTGTTGTACTACTGCTACTGCTGTGCTACTGCTACTGCTCTGCTACTGCCAATTTCACGTTTTATAAATTTGCTACTGCTACTGCTCACTGCTATTTTCTTACCGGTAACTTATTCATGAATTTAATCCAGGGTATCGTTACACTACAAATATCAGACAGAGCAGGGTTTTTTTTTACATGAATGTGTATATGTAATAACATTTGAAACATCCTTTTTTTAATATGTCACAAAAGGGATAATTTAGTTTATACAAATTTATTTTAGTTCGATTGTGTTGAAAGCTATAAGCTTATAGTGACACTCTCGAATCCGTTCCTTGAACCAACCTGTACTTAGCAATGAATGTAAAGTTTCTTGCTCAAGGAAACAACGGCTTGCCCCTGACAGGGTTTGGACCAAAGCGATCAGCAATTCTAAGACTAGTCCAGCGCGTTAACCACTCGGCCACGCTGACAAACAAAAGGGATGAATTGCAAATGCCTCTGAAAATATTATTAATTTGAAAATTTGTGTTGGCTTAGGATTTTATGGTTAATTTCATCTAAGTAGAGAACAATAAAGATTATTGGTCACTTAGGCAATTCAATATCATATCGTACAAGTCTTACTAGTTCCTTTTTTGTACGGGCTGCTTTAATTTGTAGAAAAAAAAAACACGAAGAATTAATCGGTTAGTTCCGTATGAACACTTACGTCAGCTATGTAAATTCCAGCAAAAAGACAGGATATTGTATACGAGTAGTCTGTCATACTTTGAAATATTAGATCCACCTGAAAAATGTAATATATTGCTAAGTCTAACACGACCCACTTTGTTCCCTATTGAATATAGAAGAACCAAAAGTGTGTGTTATTTAAAGGTACTTCACTGAGGTTTTTTTGACATGATGGGACTGAAAAATTTTTTTTTCCAGATAAATTTACCATTTGATGTATGTGTGGACCACAAATCTTTGTGCAAACTTTCAGATCATTCACGCACTTCGTTTTTACCAGAATAATTATTCAAATTGTAAAAAAATGACCCATAATGAAAAGCGTTTAAACGCTTTCACTCAAATTAGTCTAAAAAAAGCATAAAACTACGATTTTCGATTTATTTTAAAGTATATTTATTAACTATCTTTGCATATATTTCTGTTAAAAGTTCATTTATGTAAAAATTCTAATGTTATGTTTTTTTAGGCTTTTAAACCTCATTGGAGTCCCTTTAAGAATTAATATCTGTCTAAGCGGTGTTTATCATGCGTAGGAATTGACCATGAAAGCCGTAGGCCTGAGTGGTTAATTTTTTTCGCACCAAAACGATAAAACCGATGTTAAATAGCCGATAAACACCGCCCAGACAGATATTATTTCGATTCTAACAAGAGAAATTAAGGAAGATCACTAATGTTATTTTTTCAAGCGGAGATTACTTCCGGTGCTGATTTTCGTATAACGCTGTTCGATTTCGCATTCTTCTGTTGTTAAAATATAGAAAAAAATAACAATACATTAAAAAAATAAGCAAGTTTTCAATAATTAAAACTTACGTCTCAGACTGGATTGTATTGTGTTTGCATCAGTGTTTGATTAATCGTTCTTGTATGTTTGAAATGATGTCATTCTTTTGCGTTTATGAATGAGTTGTGTACTTAGGATGACGTCATTACGCTGCTTACGAGTGTCAAAATATTTATTAACTGATATGGATCAAATCTGTGGCTTTATACGTGAGATATTATTTTAGTATTGTATGAAAAAGAAAATATTATAAGAACTGAAAATATTAGTAACAATGTTTTTATTGTTGCTTTAAAAGGCTTTGTAAACTATATAATCGAGGGAGAAAACATAAGATCCTCATATACAAGTAGTCCATAACCAGTGTTTATTAGCAGTACACCGGTTGTTTTTTCTTTGTCAATAGTGACAAAATCATCAGGAATGTAAGAATATGCAATATTTAATCACTGTTGACGTTCTATATTTAGACATGCGACGTTATCATTATGCATGTGACTTAACCACTAAAAATGCGACGCACTGAAAATAAGTACAGAAACAAATCAAGCGCAATTTAGCTTAATATTAGGTACGGCAGTATTTATTTGTTGATGTCGTGTTAGAATCGAAATAATATATTCAAATAGGTGACTTTATTGTTTGATAACATCACTGTTTGTCGTTTGGATGCGTATGATTATAACACTCGAGCTTCGCCCTCGTAGAATAATTTGAATCCGAACTCAAAACAGTGATGTTATTGAACGATAAAATCACTGTTTTGAATGTATTATTTCTTTAATATAGCACATGTTAAAATTCCCTGTTAAGGTACTTGGTTAATATGCCATTTAAATGAGTGAAATTTGCTTAATTTAAGGTGGTTCCGTCTCCGAATATAAAACATGACAATATAGACACCAAATATACCGTTCAATGTCGCTATAATAAGAAATATATGAATAAATTTATGTCGTTTGTTATTAATGAAACAGAGATGGCTTGCTAAAGCTTTTAGGCGCTATGCTGCATACTAATTATAACGATTATTTTTTAAAGTATATTTGAAAGTAAAATATAATGAAGTGAACAAAGAAAGTTAACTATTCACTCATTGCAATCGGCACTAACAGTACACGTAATGAGTCATAAAAAATGCACAATTTGTCCTTAATGAGTAAGTCACGCAGAAGAAATAATAATGATCAGTTATAAACCGCACTTTACTTTAAAATTTTACTTTAATATTGATTATTTTACCGTTCTTAAAATCTAAGAACATTTTCCTTCATCAATTATATTTAATTTTCTTCACATTTTTTGGCTCATCTGCAGCTTTAAACATTAAGTGTGGGAGTTGAATAGACAGAAGCAACAAGATATCGCCTTAAAATGAATAATAGTCATGGAAAGAGATCTACCTATGAATGAATTTTCTTAATTAAAATATTTTGATAACAAATTATTACATGTTTTAGGTGGTTTATACAAATTTATAAGTGAAATATACAACTGATATTTCACTGTTTGAAACAGTAAAATAAGCAATTTGATACATTCTCTGATTTCGATTTATGTCTGTTGTTTCAGTGAAATACCAGCGTGCATAGTTCTGGAAATCAACTTAACGACGTCACGTAGTTATTATTTGGCACAACTTCATTTAGTATCAGGTTAAAATGTTAAAATGTCTTTAAACGTTTCTATGTTGCATATAATAAAAAGAAAATGTGAATAATTTAGTATAAGATCAAAATATATATCACTTCGTAAACACAAAAAGTGTCCACTGTGCCAGTCGTGAAATATTCCTTTTCGTACTTACTCGGTCAAATATATAGAGAATATTGAAGGTTTATAACTTCAAAATTTAATTTATTGCACGAGTAAAATAAATGAATAAAATTATATTTTTATGCGTGCCCCTGGCGAGCATAATATTATTTTATTCAACGTGTTCAATAAATTCAGCAATGAACTTGCACGCATCTAATATTCTATTTATCGCATACCCCCAAAAAGTCTTTACACTATGTTAGTATACCGCTAATGATGTCACATCAAAATATATGCATGGTCGTGCAATACCATTTTAACGGAGTCGCAAAATCGGCACGAGTGAATTGTCGAAGAATTGCCACAGACAATGCAATAATGATAAAAGTATTTTCCAAGAGATAGATAAGACATATAGAAATCAGATATTACCTCGTTTAATATAAAAGAGGTGAATTGTAACAGTTTATTAACTGTTGCAGTGTGTCTGTCATTTTCTCCTTCAGTCAAAGCATATGTCCTGAAAACAGAGAGAAAACAGTTCGATATCCCGTTTCTTTATTTGTTAACCAAGGTTTCAATATAAAAGGAAATTTTAATCTAATTCGGACGAGAAATGACAAATGATTGAAAATAATTAAAATCATTCTTATACAGGAAGTAGAACAAAACAACAAATTTATTCTTTACTGAATGAAAACATTAGATATAAATTAAATAGAACTATCCATTTTTGCTTGGAAGGTAAAATGCATGCAGCAAAGACTAGTCACAAAGTTCAAATAAGCAGTGAAACAACGCACTCAAATGAACTTTCGGGTCCGACCCAAAAGTGCGTTAGGTACACTGTAAATTTTGGAAACACTACACGTGTTTTACCAGTGTTTCACACAAAAACACTGACGTTTTCATATAAAACGCTTATGTTTTGTAAACGTTTCAGTGAGAACACATATGTTTTATTCATGTTTTCCGCTCGATGCCCAGAAACGGTGGTGTTTTCACAGGACAACCTAGCATATATAATTAAATAATTTAACATTATTGAATGAGTCGAAGTCACGCAAGTGTTGTGAATAGGCCACATGTAAAAAAAAATGAGACAAAAACATCATTTGTGTCGGAAAATTCGTATATACTTGTCATCCGGAAATCTGAAAACACGTGTTTTGGCCGAAAACGCTAAGAGCAGCTGAGGTTAAAAACATGACGTAATAATCTTTTTTATACATGTAATTAGAATTCTTTTTGTACAATCCCAATATTAAAATATCTAGATCCAGAAACAAATTATGATGCATTCAATTACATAAAATATTTAATAATAAATAAATTCGAATCATAGCAGCTAGAAGCTTGCATGTAAAGAGTACGCTTCGATTGATATCTCCGTAAAGCGCCTGGCGATGTAGTACATTGTAGATCAGACGACAAAAACCGCCAGAAATTGTTTGCCTCATTTTTGTTGTGTCTTCCATAACAGATACGTACACCAGTTGCTTAAATAGATTTGTTAATATTTTTAACGTTTTTTGCAGGTGAATGGTTAGGTTTTATGTACTATATAGTCCATTTTCGCTTCGATTGACGAATTGAAACAGGTGGGTTGGGAATTCTGTTTACGTTACGTGATTAGAGTGGTCAGCTATTTCTGTTTGCGCAAAAATTACTAAAACTGTTGGTGTTCTTTTTTACGGATTTGTATTCAAAGCACTTTGGGGTAGTTTTAAGTTGTATCGTTTGTTTCCTTGTTAAGGATTAAAATAATTTAAATTTGTCTTTCAATTGGTCCACCAGGGCAGGACTATTTCTGTCCACACACACTTTCAAACAACAAATTGAAGTAAAATCTTTTTTACATTTAGTGATGTAGGAAATGGCGAATGATGTCCAATGATCAGCTATGGGAGTGACCATGTTTCATATACCTGTCTGATAATGAAGGTATATAAATTAACAATTTTTATCTAGGGGCCCAGACTATTTTACATTAGTTATTTAGGCATTTCTTCTAAAAAGCTGGGGTCCTACCCAAAAGTTAGGACCATTGCGACTTGGTCGCTGTTATTTTATATCCCTGTCATGGAAGCACGATGGGCAGGTATTAATAATTGTCATTTAACAGTAACTGTATAAATCTTTTGATGGAAATTTCCTACAAACCCCCACCCCCTAAATTTCTTTATTTTTAATATTTTATAAACTTTAGAATGAAAAGACAAATAAACATATATAGTCAGTGATTTCCCTACTTATATAACAGACTCCGAATAAAGGCCTCTTCCAAATTGAAATTTTCTTTACAATCATGCAGTTTTCCCAAAAATCTAAACTTAAACCAGCTTTTTTACTTCCCAAATCAACAATTTTAGCGATGATTTTTCCCAAAATCAAGAGGCAAAGGCCTCTTCCAAATGAAGTGAGAACAAGAAACATGGCAATGCCATGAAACCAGGTTTTCAATTATCACCATTGTAGATAAATATGTTGTATTTGAAATACAAATACAAGCAACAAACAATGTAACTATGTGCAATGTAAAACATGAATAATGTAGGAGGAATTGCCACTGAAGAAGTGTTCACTATAATATTATGTATAAGGAAAAAAACAAAGGGCCATAATTAGGTCAAAAACTATCCAATCCCAAAACCCCGACAATATGTGCCAGGGTGCTTGATGACAAAGCTTCTGTGAAAGTTTGAACAAAAATCCGTTGAGAAATGTAGGACGAGTTCAGCACAGAAGAATTTGTTCACTATAATTATATTGATAATTCTGTATAATGAAAAACAAGTTACAAAGTAGACATGAAATAATATATCATATCTTTTTTAAATTACCTCCAAAATGATATGACCTTTGACTGCCAAATCAAGTTAAAATCATGTAAACAGGATTTTCAATGTTAATGTCACTGTGACCTTGACCTTGGTGCCAGCCATGCGGAACATGCGTTCTGCACGTCATCTTGATGTGGTAAACATTTGTCTGAAGTTTCATTCATCAAAATTCTTCAAAGGGTTGAAGAGTTACAGAGCAGACAGGATTTTCAATGTTAATGTCACTGTGACCTTGACCTTGGAGCCAGCCATGCGGAACATGCGTTCTGCACGTCATCTTGATGTGGTAAACATTTGTCTGAAGTTTCATCAAAATTCTTCAAAGGGTTGAAGAGTTACAGAGCGGACACAATTTCGTTTGACGCCCGAAGTTAAAATCATGTAAACAGGATTTTCAATGTTAATGTCACTGTGACCTTGACCTTGGAGCCAGCCATGCGGAACATGCGTTCTGCACGTCATCTTGATGTGGTAAACATTTGTCTGTTCTGCACGTCATCTTGATGTGGTAAACATTTGTCTGAAGTTTCATCAAAATTCTTCAAAGGGTTGAAGAGTTACAGAGCGGACAGGATTTTCAATGTTAATGTCACTGTGACCTTGACCTTGGAGCCAGCCATGCGGAACATGCGTTCTGCACGTCATCTTGATGTGGTAAACATTTGTCTGAAGTTTCATCAAAATTCTTCAAAGGGTTGAAGAGTTACAGAGCGGACACAATTTCGTTTGACGCCCGAGGTTAAAATCATGTAAACAGGATTTTCAATGTTAATGTCACTGTGACCTTGACCTTGGAGCCAGCCATGCGGAACATGCGTTCTGCACGTCATCTTGATGTGGTAAACATTTGTCTGAAGTTTCATCAAAATTCTTCAAAGGGTTGAAGAGTTACAGAGCGGACAGGATTTTCAATGTTAATGTCACTGTGACCTTGACCTTGGAGCCAGCCATGCGGAACATGCGTTCTGCACGTCATCTTGATGTGGTAAACATTTGTCTGAAGTTTCATCAAAATTCTTCAAAGGGTTGAAGAGTTACAGAGCGGACACAATTTCGTTTGACGCCCGCCCATCCGCCCATCCGCCCGCCATACCCCAATCTAATAACCAGGATTTTCAAAATTGAAAACCTGGTTAAAAATCACTGATAGTTCTATATTATTATCACACATTTATAATAAACGTTCCTTTTTCAGGGTGAAACTATTTCTCTTTATCTGAATTTGATTCTTAATCCATTAATTTCGATTTGATTATTGAGGCTAAGTTAACATGAATTTGATATAGGGAACACTTTGAAAATAATTTTTAACTACACTTAAACTTTATTTAGGACAGCAAACAAAAACATACTGAATAAAACTTTTAAACAACATAGCTAGAAAACAGAAACCATATCATGTTACATTCAACGTGTTTTGATGGGATAAGCGAAGACACGTTGTCAAGTAAAGAAACGCTTGATTATATTTAAATGTAAAACATTCAATTAATATCAAAAAGCCTAAGTGTTTTCCCCTACTTTGAGAATGGTGCTGGTACAGATAACGGTACCGGACAGATTGGGAAAAAATCCATCGGTTTGACTCAAATTGGGAATTTTATTTTAGATGCAAAATATTTATTGGGAATTTCTTTTATCCAGGGAGGTGATGAAAATTTTGCATTATTATACACTTTAAAACCATGAATTATTAACTTTAAAGATTTCATTTTTTCTGCTTGAGGTTGAAAAAAAAATTGATAATCATAACAATTGTACATAAATAATGTTTAAGTGTGAAACATTAAGTACGAAATGAACTGGGTACGAATATCACTCATGTGTTTTTACTTGGTTTTTATTGTATATCACTTATCAATACGGAAGGCTCCGAGGCATCCATTACTGTTTTTTAGAGGAAATTTTCAGTGTTAAATTTGGAATTTATCAGTCATGAATTTGAAAAGTTGCTGTCTATTTTCTATTGGGAACGGTGCCGTTTTCCGGTATCAGTTATATAAGGAAAACACTGGGTTGTTGTTAAAATTTTAGTCATTGACTAGATTTCTACCAGATTTTTGTTTTGTTTTTACTCCTCTTGTGGTTATAGAGTGTGATGAACATATCGACTCTTACTTTGTAAAACGTTCAGATACAAAGACAGTTGCTAAAAAATAGCAAAATCTCAAGTTTGTTTTGTCCCTGTCTTGCATATCTGTAATGGAAGAACAGTTATTATGGATAAATACAGGTACTTCAATAAAATGTAATTTTGGGTACTGTCAGATGTACACGTTACGCTACAAGTTTCTTCTCATAATTACATATTTAACAACTAGTATGGCTAATGAGTACACAATCTTGGAGGTACTACACTACATGGCAGAAGAGAATATCTGTCCTTGCAAGCAGTCTTGAAGACCTTCTGAAGAAAGGCAATAATTTTTACACACTACAGCACAATTACAACACAGTGTTAGGTTGTGCTCAAACGAGGAATGTACAGCCACAGTTGATTGTGAAAGTCTGGTGATCAAGATGCCAAGTAAAACCGATATGTGAATAGAAAAAAAAATAGACATTTCACAGTATCATAGCTTTATTTACATTTAAATTGATTTTTTAAAACAAGAAATGTGATTCCACCTTTCTGTGTTTAATTTTCACTACATATGCAAATTCAATAAATTATCATAATGTAAGTAATACCTAATTGCAATAACTATTGTCCGCCACTTTGATTTTCACAAACATTTAACATGGTGAACCCTAAATGTTAATCAAATTATTCACAAAATTTTAGCGTTGCAAAAATATCTGATTTCACAGTATAAAGAAAATTCAAACAAGTAGACTCAAAGCTCAAACTTTTCACAAAATATAATAATCATGTAAAACAAGCCATACTTGATGATATTATTTAGAATTTTCATTAAAAAAAAAAGGAACAGTTGACAAAATTTAATTTGAGTTCTATATATGCTGTTGAGATCCATTTGTGATGGCAGAAATCATCTGCATGAATATAACTACGGATCTCATTTATCTAATATTTGATAGCTACAATACATAATTGTTATGTTAGAATGGCTGTCTAATGTTTTACAGAAAAGATCTGTAGTTTGATAAATAATTCAAACAGTTTGATACTTCGATGTAGTTGTTATTGATGACTATTTCTCAGAAACACTAACTAAAGTTCTATTCAATAATTTAGCTGGTGACAAGCAACAGTTGCAAGGAGGAAGTTTGATTGTTGTGCTGGAAAAAAAAATGTGACAGAAATGGAAGAAAACGCCATCCTTGACATATTCAAAACTAAGTATTGATGCTTCTAGAAGACCAACAATTATGAGAACCAGATATTCCAAAAGACACTGTTGTAATGTTTGGGCAGACACCCAAGATGCCAACATGTCAAAGACAGACACAGAGTCCACAACTGTTACCACAACGACAGAAATTGTAACACCATCTTGTAAGTTGCGTGGAAAAATTGTAGATTTGAATTTTCTGTCTTATCAGTTGAATATTAAAATCTGATATATAGTATAATATTTCTTGTCAAAAATGCCTGCAATATAACTGATAAACTATTGAAACAGGTGTTAAACTCCAACAATATTTCTGAGAACGGAACAATTAAGCTGATAACAGAACTTAAATTTGAACACTGGAAAATGCAATATTGTATATAAAGAATCTTAAATGAGTTGTCATATAATACATGTGACACATTGAGTAATTTTTATATGAGCAGGGGCATGACCATTAATTTACATGTATGCTCAGCAAAAACCTGGATCATCCCATCCACCCCTTTATCCAATCAGATGTTAACTGTGCGTTCAATGGTTACCCAAAGGTCCTATACTTCATTGAGTGGATAGCCAGGACCCAACCATGCAGGCAGCTAGTCAGGTCTGAGTCCTTGGTGGATGTACATCCTTACTGCAGGTGTATCATGCCATGGCTTAAATAATTTCAAAGATTTATATGTTGTACTAAAATTACAAAATCATTTTATGCATATTTACATGTCACATTATAAGTCTTTATAATGAGGTTCTTTCTAGCAAGTCCTTTGGATATAATAAAGTTCAAAGATTAATTCCTAAATTGTGTAGACTATGAGTATGTATAAAATAACCATGAATGGTTATTATTGTAATATTTACAGTATTGTTTGGATGTATAATCATAAATGCGACGTTTAAACTAACATGAGGTTCGTATTGGCCCTAACAACCATGTTACATATTTGTTGCTGAACAGAACTTTTTCCTGAATGTGGAGGAAAATACACTAAAAAAATTAACTAAGAAAAAAAAATGAAATTAATTATAAATTACATCATATATGAGCATACACAAATGGCTGTTAATTGTTTCATAAGTTGCATATTTAACATTAATGGTTATAAAAATATTTGGAAAAGGAAATTTAAAGGCAGGTGATCTTTGCTGTTTTGCTACATTTCCTTTTTTAATTATCATATGATTATCAAATAAGTTAATGATAATAATTGTTTTCTTTTTTGTTTTGTTTTTTTCAGATGTTGCTGGAAATTAAATTAATTTTTGCAGTAGGCCACATCCAACCATTTGTTGACAATCTAGAGATATTGTTTGAAGCAGAAGCTACACTTAGACCTGGAGGAAAAGAGGTATGAGTTAAGATTTAACAGTGATTTATTTCCTGCATATTACAGCCGAATACAGGCTGTTTCCCCAAGCCCTAAATAGGTATATTTTCCCCTAAAAATACTACTTTTTTTCCCCTTAAATGCCCTTTGCACATTTTTCACTAGGGCCTTGACTTAACAGCAGCTGACTTATATCAGCTCAAGACAAAACACTGTTCCTACAGATAGCCCCCGCATGTATCATGGATGTTTAATTGAATTGAAATTGAATATTCTAAAATATGTGTGGGTAAACTATTCTCAGTTGTTAGAATTTGATTTTCCCCTTTTCTGATTTATCACGCTATATTTTCTCCTTCAGAAAGACACAGGTTGTTTTGAAAATTGAAAAAAAATCACTGGGTTACTGTAAGGGCAGGCAACTTGTGGAAAAAGGAAAAAAAAATATCATTGCAATCTTACTATGCTCACAGCACAGCCTTGTTATAATGCGGCTTAAGATATCATAATTTTTAAAAGATGGTAACAATTGTATTCACAAAAGGTATAGAATAGAAAAAAAATCCATATTTTTTTAAATATATAATAAATACTTTCTTGTTTGGATATAATGTGGTTAACTAACATGGTCTACGTATATAAAGGATTCAAACTACCATGTTATAACAAGGTTGTGTTGAACCAAGGAGACCCAGTCAGAAGATGATAATGCATCCGACCTGTACATTAATCAAATAGTTCTGACAATGATTATGCCCCCCTTCGAAGAAGAGGGGGTATATTGTTTTGCTAATGTCGGTCTGTCTGTCTGTCTGTCTGTCTGTCGGTCCGTCGGTCTGTCCGTCGGTATACCACATGGTTTCCGCTGATTATCTTGAAATTTATTCATTACAAAGTCTTCATATTTCATATAGTGTTTGGTCATGACTATTAGATAAGCTCTATTGAGTTTTGGGTCACTAGGTCAAAGGTCAAGGTCACCGGGGCCTTAAATGTCAGAATGATTTCCGCTGATTATCTTGAAAAGTGTTCATCACAAAGTCTTCATATTTAATTTAGTGATTGGTCATAATTAGTAGATGACCCCTATCGATTTCGGAGTCACTACATCAAAGGTCAAGGTCACAGGGACCTTAAATGTCAAAATGGTTTCCGCTGATTATCTTAAAAAGTATGTATCACAAAGTCTTCATATTTCACACAGTGATTGATCATGACTAGTAGATGACCCCTATTGATTTTGGGGTCACTAGGTCAAAGGTCAAGGTCACAGGGACCTTAAATGTCAAAATGGTTTCCGCTGATTATCTTGAAAAGTATGTATCACAAAGTCTTCATATTTCACACAGTGATTGGTCATCACTAGTAGATGACCCCTATTGATTTTGGGGTCACTAGGTCAAAGGTCAAGGTCAGAGGGACCTTAAATGTCAAAATGGTTTCCGCTGATTATCTTGAAAAGTATGTATCACAAAAGTATTCATATTTCACTCAGTGATTGGTCATCACTAGTAGATGACCCCTATTGATTTTGGGGTCACTAGGTCAAAGGTCAAGGTCACAGGGGCCTTAAATGTCAAAATGGTTTCCGCTGATTATCTTGAAAAGTATGTATCACAAAAGTCTTCATATTTCACACAGTGATTGGTCATAACTAGTAGATGATCCCTATTGATTTTGGGGTCACTAGGTCAAAGGTCAAGGTCACAGGGGCCTAAAATGTCAAAATGGTTTCCGCTGATTATCTTGAAAAGTATGTATCACAAAAGTCTTCATATTTCACACAGTGATTGGTCATAACTAGAAGATGATCCCTATTGATTTTGGGGTCACTAGGTCAAAGGTCAAGGTCACAGGGGCTTTAAATGTCAAAATGGTTTCCGCTGATTATCTTGAAAAGTATTCATCACAAAGTCTTTATATTTCACATAATTATTAGTCATAACTAGTAGATGACCCCTATTGATTTTGGGGTCACTAGGTCAAAGGTCAAGGTCAAAGGGACCTTAAATGTCAAAATGGTTTCCGCTGATTATCTTGAAAAGTATGTATCACAAAGTCTTCATATTTCACACAGTGATTGGTCATCACTAGTAAATGACCCCTATTGATTTTGGGGTCACTAGGTCAAAGGTCAAGGTCAGAGGGACCTTAAATGTCAAAATGGTTTCCGCTGATTATCTTGAAAAGCATGTATCACAAAAGTCTTCATATTTCACTCAGTGATTGGTCAGCACTAGTAGATGACCCCTATTGATTTTGGGGTCACTAGGTCAAAGGTCAAGGTCACAGGGGCCTTAAATGTCAAAATGGTTTCTGCTGATTATCTTGAAAAGAATGTATCACAAAAGTCTTCATATTTCACTCAGTGATTGGTCATCACTAGTAGATGACCCCTATTGATTTTGGGGTGACTAGGTCAAAGGTCAAGGTCACAGGGGCCTTAAATGTCAAAATGGTTTCCGCTGATTATCTTGAAAAGTATGTATCACAAAAGTCTTCATATTTCACACAGTGATTGGTCATAACTAGTAGATGACCCCTATTGATTTTGGGGTCACTAGGTCAAAGGTCAAGGTCACAGTGGCTTTAAATGTCAAAATGGTTTCCGCTGATTATCTTGAAAAGTATTCATCACAAAGTCTTCATATTTCACACAGTGATTGGTCATAACTAGTAGATGACCCCTATTGATTTTGGGGTCACTAGGTCAAAGGTCAAGGTCAAAGGGACCTTAAAATGTGAAAATAATTTCTGCTGATTATCTTAAAAACAATTCATCACAAAGTCTTCATATTTCACATAGTGATTAGTCATAACTAGTAGATGACTCCTATTGATTTTGGGGTCACTAGGTCAAATGTCAAGGTCACAGGGGCCTTAAATGTCAAAATGGTTTCCGCTGATTATCTTGAAAAGTATATATCACAAAGTTTTCATATTTCACATAGTGATTGGTCATCACTAGTAGATGACCCCTATTGATTTTGGGGTCACTAGATCAAAGGTCAAGGTCACAGAGGCCTTAAATATCAAAAGGGTCAGCTGATTATCTTGAAAAGTATTCATCACAAAGTCTTCATATTTCACCTAGTTATTGGCCATAAGTATTAGATGACCTCTATTGATTTAGGGGTCATTAGGTCAAAGGTCAATGTCACATGGGCATTAAATGTCAAAATGGTTTCCGTTGGTTTTTCCATAATTGAACACTTCCATGTACCCATTTTTGGCAAGTTTCTTTAATAAAATTACCAATTATGTGAGTCAATGGCTAGAAAGGGGGGTATATGTGTCGTTCGACATTCTTGTTATTTGTTGTTGTTGTTTTTTTTAAAATATAAAATATCTGATTTATAATACAAAATATGTAATTTTTAATTTTAATGTGCTTTGAAATACATTGTCTAACTGGACTTAAAAAAATTGCGACTTTATCCAGAGATCTATTGCAGGAAATCCAACATGGCATAATCTTGTTTTGTGGCTGATGTTTGTTTTTACAGTGCTTTTGTCACTTTTAATGCAAATATGGTTAAAATTGTTAAAAATTGTGTTCATTTTGTCATATTGAAAGCTGTGTTTAGGATCTGATTGTGTGCGTTTCTGTTTACTTAGAATTACTGATTTCTGTTGCAGTGCAAAGATGATTTGGACGTTATAAGAGCCATAGAAAGTAATACAGGGTTCAAACATGGAAAGGGGTGCAAGACTAGATAAATTGTAGTTCTACATAAGGTATAGTAAATTTACCGGATTTTTTTTTGTCAGTTTTGTATAATACCACTGAATTTAATTTTAACTTGAATACTTGCAGCCGCTAATCATGACAAGACACATTTGTAACTGACAAGGGACAACATTCTGAAATTTATTAAATGAATTAATGACAAAACTATCAAATGTATCAGCACAATACTTTGATAAATTCATTTTATATTTGCTTTACATAACAAGACATACTGTTCAGACAAGGGGAGTTATTCTAAAAACTATATTTTGGAGTTATGCCCCTTTTCAACTTACAATTTTGTCAAAATAGCATAATAAATGGATTGACTTGTAAACTTATTTAAGTAAATGATAAGTATCTCAGTCTATAGATATGCCTCTTTGTCAAACATGGTATCTCATTTTTTGCCTGTCTTGTCACTATATAAAATAGACGAATGTTGGCCCTGCTCAGCATGGCATGGCAGAAGATCGAATTTCTGACCTACTGCTCCAGAAGCAGACATTAACTAACACTTTATTATGTGCTGGTTGGAAATGCTTAAGGTAGAAGATTTCCCTGATCCTGTTATGAAGGATGGTACTCATTCATTGTTTTATTCCATGTTCATTTTGCAGGATATTGAAGAAGCTAATCTGTCAAAGGTCCTGTCATCACAGCCTAATACTCCTCCAAGTGAAGCCTTGTTTTTATTTTTAACAACATAGAACTGGACAAACAGTATATTGTTGGAGACCAGTGCAAGATACCACTTGAGACAGATAGCTTCATGGAAGGGCTATTCTGATTAATAAGCTGGTATTTTATAATGGATCTAGAAAATCCCAATGCTTTTCACAACTCCTTGGATTCATGCAACAAACAGTATTTAAACAAGCCTTTCTTAGTCACAAGTCGGCTGTGTATTTACACTTTGTGGAACAAATAGAACCAACATTTTAAATTAAATTCAACCTTTTGTGTCATGGACACATTATTGACTGCTTAACAGCTTACTTTTACCATGAAAAAACCTGCTTTTTTGCACTTGCAAAAACAAAGGTGGAGAATAGCTGTGTGGTAACCATTAGCTGATCAGTGCCTTTATTTTTGCTGCATAGATAGTGCAATCCCTCACCTTCCTTAATCAGACATTTAAGTCCTCTTGTCTGAACTTGTAGATGTAAATTTTGGCTGTATTTGAAATAGCAAATTTCAAGTGTCGATATTTTTCAAAACAGCTAAGACTATGCTTCTATTTAGGTATTTTAGGAACTTTTAAATCCAGTGATTTTTCAAATTATTATTCACTAGCAGAAAAGATTGACTTTATAATGCAGTGTTTAAACACTAATTTTATTATTTATGACATCAGTATGTTATTGCAGACTGTGACATTTTTATGTCAATGAAGCATTAAAATGTCATATATTATAAATTGTTTATTACAGTTAAGAAGTATTAGTGATATTTTTTTTGTTTGAAATGTTAATTGCTTTTTATTTTGTAATGCTATGTAGAATTTTAAATATATTGCATTGATTTTTAAAAATAATTTGTATTTTGTTGATTTTTACTGTCTTACTTTAACACATGCTCACTTCATTATCATATCAGATTTATTCAATTTCCATTTACTGGTTTCAAGTGGTAAGCAGAATTATTTTTTCGGAGTCAAAGAAATGATTTATCAAAATATTGTATAAAGTTGCATTGTAACTTTTAAGAATGCTAAAGTGTACCATTTTGTTTGTCTAATCCTTAAGCGCACCACAACAAAAGTTATTTATGAACCATCAGGATATATACTGCTACTGATAAACGACTACACGAATCTGGACGGAAAACATGGGCTGGCAACATTAAAGATATGCTTTTTCAATTTGGTTTTGGATACGTATGGATCTCTCATGATGTCTGTGATGACTTAAATTTCATTAATATGTTTAAGCAATGCTTATTTGATTGTTATTCACAAAACTGGCATAATGCTGTTGATTCTTCTCCTAAAGCATTACATTACAAGTACTTTAAGACTTTACTTAATGTTGAACGATATTTAAGTTTAGATTTAGCATATAAGTATAGAAGAGCTTTTTCTAATTTTCGCTGTTCATGTCATAATCTTATGATAGAGAAAGGTAGACATATTTGAATAGATAGAGATTTAAGATATTGCTTTCATTGCCTATAGACAAATATTTATGTTATTGAGGATGAATATCATTTTTTCTTTGAATGTTCACTATATAACAATATCAGAGCTGTCTATTTTAAAGATACATGGTTACATCATCATTCCCACCATTTATTTTATTCTCTCATGTCATCAACAATAATAAATGAAGTAATATCTATTGCTAAATATATATATTATGCAATGAATGTAAGAAAGGAAGAGATAAATACTGAATAATTATTTACAAATTCAATTCATTACATCTAGTAACAAATGTATTTGCAATTTATCACTCTACTGTTTGATATATTGTTTTATCACACAACCGTGCCGATTTGGCGACTCCGTAAATATGGTATTGCACGGCCGTGCATATATTTTGACGTGACGTCATTAGCGTTATACAAACATAGTGTAAAGACGCGCTAAATGTTAGCGTTATACTATAGACGCGTCAATGAAAATGACTCTTATTTCACTTTAAACGGTCTTTATTTTGGGTATGTGATAAATAGAATATTAAATGAGTGTAAGTTCATTACTGAATTTATTGCACTCGTTGAATAAAATAATATTATGCTCGCCAGAGGCTCGCATAATATAATTTTATTCAACTCGTGCAATAAATTCAGTATTGAACTTACACTCATTCAATATCCTCTATGTACTTTGTATTTTCGGCCTGAGGCCTACATTACTAGAAATAAAATGAAACTGATAAAAAATAGAGCACTAGTGCACAGACTTTTGATCCCCCTCTCCTTGTAACCATGAAGTGTATTATAATTTGTCTGACAGTACTCGGACACATTATTGGGGACAGTCAACATTGAATGACCAATTTTTGACACTGTCTGAAAATACTGTTGTTTTTTTTTCCAACCCAAATATGATACATATTTGTGCCAAAACCGGGTTTTTTTACATTTTACAGGGAGGTAGGCTTTACTGTGTAAAAAGCTTTTAATCTTGTAGAGAGAAGTTAAATCCATTTTAAAATTATATATGTTTTCATTTTACCTGAAATTATACTGATATCCATATATCAATTTGTTTTTGTTGTTTATTTGTCTATCTATTTATTTACTTAATTGTTTGCCTAAATATGACTGTAATCTGTTTTATTTATTTATTTTATACATTCATTTTTAATCCCCTTCTGCATAGAGGGGAGGGGATTACAGGAATGGCCTCAGTCTTTCTTCCATGTCCACTCCATAACTTTTTTAAACTGTTAAAAGTTTTTGAAATAACTTGGCTTAAATGGTCATCAGTATGAGACGATGTGCAGAGCGCAATAATCGGGTCGCTACCTCTAAGGCCAATGTCACAACTTAAGGTCATAGGTTAAAAGTTTACATTTTGTTTCCGCTCCAAAACTTCAACTGATGAAAAGTTTTTAACATAACTTGGCACAAATGATCACCTTTATATCATGATGAGCAAAGCACAACAACAAAGATACTACCTCCAAGGTTAAGGTCACACATAAGGGTCAAATGTTAATGGTCCACATTTTGTGACCGCTTAATTACTTAAACTGCTGAAAAGTTTTAAAAATAACTTGGCAACAATGATCACCATTATAAGAGGATGTGCAGAGCGCAGCAATCAGGTCACTGCCCAAAGGTCACAGGTAGAGGTCAAATATTCTTGTTTATAACTTTTTGACATGGAAGGTTTTAAATATTTTAGCATTAATAATCACGACCATGACACAATAGCCAGGTTTTTCTCTAAAAGACATGGTTTGTTAAAGATCAAGAAGTACAGATTACTGTCCGCTGTGAATGGGATATAGCTGTCCTTCAGACTGCCTTGTTTTTAATTGTTTGAATTTTTAATATGAGAATGCTCTTTATAATTTTGTTATTGGTAACACCAGAATTTCGGGTATATTGCATTGAATTGTAACAGGACTGACAAGGTGACAGTAAAATTGTCAACTGTAGGAAATGCTACCTCAGTTGACAGTGTTTTTCCAAAAGTTGTCAACTTTACTAACACTCTGTCAGGCATGTAATATTAATTTTATTATACCAACAAGAGCTGTCAGTAGGACAGCAACGCTCGACTATTCTAAGTGCTTGATAGTAAAAGAGCCTTGATAATGTAAAATTTTCAGAGTTAATAACAAAAGGACAAAATTTTTCTTTAAATCCATGTTAAAGTTAAAGGCCTTGGACAGAGTCCTATTATGTTCTCAAAGTATAAAATATCAACTTGTTTCAATAGAATATGAAAATATCTGAGGTGGAATGCAAACCTAAAAGTAAATTCTAAGTTGAAAAAGGGGTATAATTCTGTCAAAATGCTTGATACAGTTACCTCCTCCTGTCTACAGGTTGGGGTTATAATGGTGAACAAGTGTGCAAAGTTTCAAAGCCACATGTCAATGGACTTTGAAAATATTTGAGGTATTACAAAAACTTAAAACATAAATTCTAAGACGAAAAAGGGGCATAATTCTGTCAAAATGCTGGATACAGTTACCTCCTCCTGTCTACAGGTTGGGGTCATGATGGTGAACATGTGTGCAAAGTTTCAAAGCCATATGTCAATGGACTTTGAAAATATTTGAGATATTTAAATATAAAACTTTAACATAAATTCTAAGTCAAAAAGGGGCATAATTCTGTCAATATTGTAGGCAGAGTTATTCAACTTGTCAATCTGATGTACCTTGTTACTATAAATAAGTATTGTAAGTTTCAATTGAATATCTCAAGCTATAATTGAGATAATTGACTTTACAAAAAACTTTAACTAAAATTTCTAAGTTAAAAAGGGGCATAATTCTGTCAATATTGTAGGTAGAGTTATCCAACTTGTCAATCTGATGTACCTAGTTACTATAAATAAGTATTGTAAGTTTCAATTGAATATCTCAAGCAATAATTGAGATATTTGACTTTACAAAAAACTTTAACCAACGCAGACGCCGACGCGGACGCCGACGCCGACGCCGGGGCGACTACAATAGCTCTCATATTCTTCGAATAGTCGAGCTAAAAATACTATTATAATAATGGTAGAGGCTCTTTATCGATTTAACATTTATGTGCAGCAATGAAGAACAATTAGTATTTAACCTCAATTTAAAAATTTTATTAAAAGTTGTATAATATGGTTAATGTCATTGTTCACATTTTTTTGTTGATCATGTTTTGAAATAAAACATGGAAACTATTAAAACGTGTAATCGTGTTTTAAATCTGTTACAGTCCCAAAACACGTGTTAGGTGTTTTCAGACAAAACACCTAAATACGTTTTCTAGAAAAACACCCGTGTTTTATTGTGAAACATCAGTGTTTTGTGAAAACACCGCAACATGTTTTAAAACTGTTACAGATAGGTGTTTTCACATGTGTTTGGAATCAAAAGAGATTTAGAGTGTACAGCCCCAACGTGCGTAACGCACTTTGGTGTCAAAGTTTGAAACGACCGCCTTTTGGTATCATCAAAATACAATCAATAAGAATTAATTTTTGTGATATTTTATATTCTATAACACTATCGCATTTTTTTCTATATAAACAAAGAAGGAAGCGTGCATTATTCTACAACAATGCACTCGCCGTTCTTATAACCTCCCTGTGAATTTTCAAACCGACGCATTGTCGCTATTTTGTTCGAATATCTGATTAAAAAAAAAATTTTTTTTCGTTGTAAAAACTATCTAGACTGAAAGAAATTGGTCCTACTAAGAAGAAGAATCCGAACACTCAGTTGTTGTCAAAATTTAGCGCCGAACAGCACTAACAAAAACAATCAAATCAAGAACACTATTTCAATGTCGCAAAAGAGTTTAATTTCACATTTATTTCACTATAAGTAGTTTTGAGTTCACTTAAAAATTATAGAGTGAAATATAATAAACAAACAAAGTTTTATCAACGTTTTAAAAATTTGTTATTCTCAAAATATTTCTACACACGCTGGAAAAGCGT